CTGGAGAATATGATTGTAATTATCATCATCGTTTGTAGTATTTTCTCACCTTCTGCACCGACTCTCCCTTGACACGAGGATGTACTTGATTCCTGACACACCTATTCCTTCCGGGGCACTGCGAGACAACGCCAACCACCAAGACGAAACGAGGTGAATACGCGAATGTTTCTTATCGAACCTCACGCCTTCGTTGCTAACCATCCCTAACTCTACGGAGACATCGTCGGCGGGTGATGTTTGGGCGTTGTTTCCGTTCATCATCAACTGTGGTTTGTTATGCGATTTAATTTTTTTTTTCACTCACAATTTTCCAGAAAAGTTACTTCAGGTTATTTATTCGCCCATAAAACATATACGAGTAAGACCCAGCGCTTACAGATGATATACAACAGAGTGCGATTAATTATAACGACCTGAAGGCGCAAACCAACATTTACGTTCTCTTGACGTGTTTCAAATTTGTACAGCGCTAACAGTATAACGTGTAGTTTTGGTAAGAGCACTGCAAATGACAGCAAACTATATCCATGGCCAAGCCGCCAATAAAAGTACTGTCCTTTACAAACTTATAATATATATTCTTACCTATAGAAAAAATGATTATCATTTAACATTGTGGGTATTCTAAAAAGGTGCGGGTATTCAATTCAGTGTAATATTATGTCGAAGTAATTTAATCGATGTATGGTGGTTATGTAACTTGAGTCAAGGCACTATGTCTTTCATCCTTCAATACCTGCACGTGATGAGCAAAAACGAAATGTGTGGGTATATACCCAAAAAAATATATTCTCTGTAGTAAAGTGGGCCACATACAAAATATGTATACAGGAGAGTATCGATATTTGAGACGTTGTTATTTTCCTTCTTTCAGTAAGGGATCTTCTCCAAATTTGTTTTTATCTCTAGGTAGTTACAAATGCTTGCCCATCAATCTTTGCGGCTGTGTTGATATTCCTAAGTTGTTGAATTTCATGTTTAATACTGCTGAAGGTTATGTGTATGTAGTTCGTATCAATTTATAGCGGCCGGCGGCCCCCTTGTACATGTATAAGACAATGTAACTAATTTCCAACCAATCGAGATAGCGAATGATAATATTCCGTTCTTGTATAGCGCATATCACTTTGTTACGTCCCCATGCGCTTCCAAAAGGCTTTTTGACAATGTATTACCCTAGCTTTAGCTCCGGCAGCACATTTCAAGAAATAATCCTACCAGGTACCCATTTACATGTACCTCACCTGGGTCGAGTGTGGCAAATGTAAATCGAGGCTTGCCGACGGACATTAGTGCGGTGGCGAGACTCGAACAGCGGACCTTAAAGGGAACCAAAACCTTCATACTAAGTTACTTTTATTGTAAAGTTTAAGATATTTGAAAAATATCTGTGAAAATTTGAACAAAATCGGGCAAGGAATAAGGAAGTTAGAGCTTTTTGAAATGACTCGTCACTAGAGGGCGGTATTCAATTTGATGACATCATCTGTGGACAACTCTCCATGCCTTTTGTACATAAAATTGCACAATTTTTTTGTTTTTTTCGTATTTATTTGTATTCTTGATCCGACTTCATAACATGTGAAGGAGAATATCATTTTGCATTCTATATCTTGCTTTCGGGGAGAAGATTATCTCACTCACAAGAAAGAAGGAAAAACATGAAATTTGATGTACAAAAGGCATGGAGAGTTGTCCACAGATGATGTCATCAAATTGAATACCGCCCTCTAGTGACTAGTCATTTCAAAAAGCTCTAACTTCCTTATTCCTTGCCCGATTTTGTTCAAATTTTCACTGATATTTTTCAAATATCTTAAACTTTACAATAAAAGTAACTTAGTATGAAGGTTTTGGTTTCCTTTAATTCCAAACAAGATAGTACAGATAGAAGAGTTCTTAACCTATTCTGATTCTATCACAATGCCATAATAGTATCGATTAGATACATTCTGTTAGTTGTAAAATGCTCATTTCCCCTAAGTATTGTTTGTATATGTCGAAAAGTAAATTGTTAATGTCTGAAAATGTGCTCATATATTTTTTATTCAATATGAAATAACTCTGCATTACGTTATCAAACAAAGTTCAATTAAACAAACAAAGATATCAGCCTAAAAAGAGAAAAGTCATATGAAATATACTTACTTATAATTCATGAAATATATAGTTAATATGAGAACGAATCAAATCGTATATCACAGTAATTGAATATTGATATCCTTATATCCATGCATATACCAAAAAGTGAAAGTACATAAATTGGGCACTTTCTTGCCCAATATTTTTTAGAGTGTATGATAATGTGATATGCGCAAAACAGAATCGGAATGTTATTATTGTTACTAATATTAACATTTGCCCTTTTCATTTGTTGCCTTCCAATGCATGACGACATCCCTATGTCATGGTGACCATGGACAGAGTTTGTACGAACAGGAGAGAATCTTTCTAGATAATTATACGCACGGGTATCGTAGAACAAGGACAGGGCGACTTCATCAAACTCTTGGTCTATCCATGGACCTATTACGGATGGACATTCAACGTGATTCGTTCTTTGATCCAATGATAGTCACCGCCTTCTGATTATGTGCATATTAATGAGAACATTCAGCTGTTTTAACATTAACGACTGCGATCTAAAATTGCTATGAAGATAATTTTAGACCCCAAAATGTTTGAAATGTGGCCAATACGATCATACCAATTCAGCTCCACTTTCAAAACAATATGGTGACCGTTAGTAATTAATTAATCATTAAAATACATGGGCCGGCTGATTGTGCGTATTATAACCAACAGGGAACAGTCGACAAAAAGCCAACATCAGCATTGGCTGAAATAAAACGTATCAGGCGCTATCTCGTTTTTTCAACGGCGGGTTTGAATTATTGAATATTTGTGGGGCACCACAAATATTAGAAATCGCTATAGGCCTATTTATGAATATTTTAGCCATCTCTTAACCGATTTTGATCAAACAAAAATGATTTTCGCATTTGAATTGTATGTTCTTTCAAATTAGGCACACAGTTCTTCATTGTCTCACCCAAAAAAATTGTAGCGCCCTCTGCAACAAAACTATCTCTTTTAAAGGAAAGTACACATGGTCATTAGTAGAAATGGTCATTAGCAGGATATTTTCGTGACATGTTAATGATTGAACAAAAGAAGTACGCCCTCTACGTGCGTTTTAAGGCAGACGTAACTTAAAGGCCTCCCGTTCAAAATGTAACTACGTTTGTAACGATGTACATTTGATAATTATTGTATTATGTATTGTTCCTGTATATGTATATATGTACAAAGACTGTTAAACCATTGAAAAAGAATTTCCCGTAAGGGACAATAAATTTTCAATTCAATTCAATTCAATTCAAGAAACATAACGTTTAATCATCAGTCATTAGTTTAATTAGTTTCATTGTTTTGAATTTAGGGTAAGGGTTAGGGTTACGGTAGTGTACCAGTTTTTATGATGTCCGGTTAATGTACCATTTGGGGTTATATAATGTAGATATCCTGTAAATACAACATGTAGGGTTGTATATATATAAAACCCTATATGGTACATTAAGTGGACATCCTAAAAATCCTTACCCTAACCCTAATCCTAACCCTAACCCTTTTCCTATTACTAACCCTAACCCTAACCCTAATGTCTACTTAATGACTCATTTTTTCACTCAAAATGTCCCTCCAATAACACCTTTAGTATTATAACATATATAGAGAGAGATATATATTTTTTTTAAATGGGCCTTCTATGAGAAATAAAACGTAAAAACGTTAAGAGGACACCAAATTGTCCTCCTAATGACACTGTCTACTTAATGACTCCTTTTGGTCACTCCAAATGTCCCTCTAATGACGCCTTTAGTAAAATGTATTTATTTATTTATATACATGTACATATCATATATTAACTGTCTAAAAGAAGTATAACAGAATCCCACTCAAAACATTAAATGCACGGCTGAAGGCATATTTTATTATCACATAGTAAACTATATCAGAAGAATAGATCTTCGTCATCGTCAATAACACTTATGAACAACAAATTTGAAGAAAATAAATTATCAATATACTTAGATATTATGTACAAGTATTGTATATGATTACCAAACAACTGACAGTGTGATAGATTAGTGTCTCTAACCGGTTTACCTAGGTAAATAATTCGATAATTCAAGTTACACTCTGCATTCTAAAAATTATACGATACTGTATTCAGATTCAGTACATTATGACATTGGACTGTAATAATGTTTCATGCTTCTTTTTTTGGCTAAGACATACAAATCTTAGTTATGAGTATGGAAAGTTTGGTAGCAAATGAGAGTTTTTATAGCTAGTATTCGAGCAAGCATGATAATACCGGAGTGTTGGCTCAGTCAGTAGAGCGTCCGCCTCACAACCGGGAGGTCGTGGGTTCGAACCCCGGCCGCGTCATACCAAAAAGACGTTAAAAGACGGGAGTTGTTGCTACCTTGTTTGGCGTTCAACAATAAGAGACAGAGCAACGTCGATCTGGCGCTGCTCAGTGGCTGCCGGGCTCACGATCAATTGGGCAAAAAAAAATTAATAAAATTTGGAGTGGACTATTAGGCTATTATTATTATTATTTATTATTATAACCTATCACTTCAAGGAGTTTATACCATGCATACAGACTTGTTACTAACAATGTCTAAACATTACAGTTCGTATCTCGTGGTTGACATGGTTTCATACATTTCATATTGAAAAGCAAAACATAACAAGCAAAATTTAACAAGAATTGCAAAATGAGTCGATACTATTCTTCTGAAAATAAAAATATTCTAATAAAAATAATGAATTATTGATGAATTGGCCTGATCAAACGAGTCTATTTTCTGAATGATAACTTAAATGATAAAATGACCACAGGATTAAACAAAATGTAATAATCGTTAACCTATTTCACACGTTTCTCCCTTAAATCCTGGTGCACATGTGCAGTTAAAGTCTGCCTCTGTCGGTGTACAAGTTGCTCCGTTAAGACAGGGTGCTGCATTTCACTCGTCATCTCCTATGGACTCAAAGTTGATGAAAATGCTAATTAATAACAGCAGAAGAATAATTCTGATTATAAACACTGAAACATGTATTGAATTAGTAATATTACATATCATTTCACGATAAGGATGCAAATGAAATAATTAAATATATACAGGAATTATATATTTGTGAATACTTTTATATCTATCAAAAACACAAGATGACCATGGTATAGCGAGAAAGGGAGATAAAGGGAATATAAAAAATCACATGTAAATTGGCACAAAAACATCCAAAATATGAAGAAAATATGAAAGTATAAACAATTGATAGGAGATGGTGCATCCGTAAAAGCTATTAAGGCTCGACAATTGAATGCACCAGGAGCATTAGTAATATTAGCAATGGCCGGAATAAAAATGAAATTGAAAATGAAAATAAATTTCTCTATGATATTCTTCCAACTGATTAAAAACGAATGAGAACGTTCACCGTCCCCAGGGCCTCGTCATACAAAGAGTAACTATGTGTGAACATTTTTTTCTCTCATTTTTCATATTTTTACTATGAAAGGGAATTAGAAGTGTAAAAGACAATGCAAAAAAGGGACAGAAAGAAGGGATTATAAAAGTAAGTACGGGGAGGGGGTGGGTAAAAGAAAACACTCTAGTGGTTTGACATTTCATAGTAAAATTATGGGGGAATCTATTGGTTGAATGTTAAAGAAGTTCTGAGTAGTTGAAAAGAAGTGGCATTGCTTCATTTCGAAAGTTTAAAGAGCGTTATCCAATTTGATTATTGCCTACCGAATTCGTTGCATACTCCACAGCTTAGCCTGCAGTTCTTGAGCATGTATTTCGGGTTCTTTTCACACTCACCGACTCTCGCCCAGAATGCACAGCTACGTGCTTGGTCGGTACATGCTAATTTTGAAGGAACAACAACATAGAAAGCAATTGGTTAAAAAGAAATATTTATACAAACAGCAATGGTGATAATGTGGTCCTTGTTCAACAGATCCATGGGTCTAAAATCACGTTTTAGAATCACTTCAGACTATACTCTCTTTGTTAAACCCGATTTTAAAGAAAAACCTAAACCCAGTGTTTTGTATTTAGTAGACTGTGGGTACTCCTGAATATTCCCCATACAAATAAACAAAATATACGGTGAATATAATAGCAGGATATAATTAGCCAGATGAATAACATATAGAGTGGGTATTTGGCATCATTCCGTAACTCCTATATTGCAAGTGGCAGCCATTGAACGTTCCAAATGTATTTTCAAACAAGCAATCAATAAATAGAGCAAAAATGGTCACTCCGCATGTTCTTAATTAACCAACGAGGATAAAAAGCGTTAATAAAAAATGTTATGAAGGATGCGAAGTAATCACAGCATTGGTAAATGCAATTGAATGGTTATACAAAGCAGATGAAGAAAACAAAATTAATTGAAGCAACGTTGCTAAGATAAAAGGAATACTTGAGTAAAATATAATGAATTAAGGAATAAAAACCAGTCGAGTCGTGCTATGAATGCACAAGATGGAGCAACGAAGAGAGTTAAGAAAACAACGCGATGAAATGCTGTGCCTCCGTGCTCTTGCCATAGTAACGGTGATGCTGATCATACCAATGAGGGCATGGGGGACTACATGACTATGGCAGGTATTTGATGCCATAATTTTCTTTATGGATCGAGCTTTATGGCATTGATTACCTGCCATAAAAGAAACCTCATCACCCCTTACCGATCTCGCAGTTGTCCCCTTAGTAACCGACAGGACAAGTAAAATTAAACCCTCCACGTCATTGACGCATGTCCCACCATTTTCACAGGGGTCGGTTTGGCTTGCGCTGACGTTGTACTGGTTAAAGTCTACGACATTAATGTCTTATGTAACTTTTTCGACATAATCCAATGCTATACCACAAATGAATCCACCATTGGGTAGATACAATCTGCGCATGCGTGGATAAAATTCAAGTGTACCAAAACTGAAGAACCCACCCAGACGAATACTGGATACGCACTCATGGAAGTTACGGTATCATTACTCGTTCATGCTCGGACGGTAAACGTTATGTATCATCGTAGGAAGTGTTCTCCTCTAGAGGGCAAAACATAATACAAAAAGTGGGATTACCCCAGGGCCCTGTCTTACAAAGACTTGATATCAATCGCAACTTATTTGCAATTGATATCAATCGCAACTATGTACATAAGAGATAGGAGATTGCAAACTTGCGATTGATTAGAGGACTTGCGATTGATTAGAGGACTCTTTGTAAAACTGGGCCCAGGTGTAAAAGGTATTTGGGGTCATTTTGTACCATGTGCTATTATGAACACTTGTCTATAGGATGGAGTTGGCAAAGACTCTCCCACACAAGCAGACTCGGACAAACAAAGCTTCTGTGTACCCATGCCTTGTGCCATAATGCATGGTCATACAGAGGATTTGTTTATGTTGGGGACCGGGGTAAAATTCAATGAATTAATGAAAATTTATTGCATTTTCTTTTCTTTTTTTTTAATTTGTGGGAACTACCCCCTACCCTAGCCTCCGCTGCGTACAGTCATGGTTCAGTGGCAAAGCAATGGCCTCGTAACTGTGAGGCCCTAGGATCAAAACCGCGTCGATATGCCATATTAGTGCCCTTTTGTGGGGCACTGTAATCCTCATTACTGTCATTTATGACTTAACGGCGTAGGTCCCCTAGTTGATAAGCATAGTAGCATACACATGCTTTAGCAGTCACGCAAAAGAAACATTGGCAATTTATTATTCAATAAAATCTGAGAATGTATACTATTATCTAGATCTATTAGGAATAAATCATTGTCAAAATAATTCCATAAATTGGGGTAAAAAAAAAATATTCCACCTATATGAGCGACAGTGTAGGTAGATTATGTATGTAGAAAAGTTGGGAGAAAGAGAGAGAGAGAGAGAGAAAGAGAGAGAAAGAGAAAGAAAGAGAGAGAGAAAAAGAGAGAGAGGTAGTGTAAAAGGAAGTTTGCTTACGAGTCGTTGTGATAGGATCAACTATTGAGGTGGTGGGTTCCGTCGTAGACATCGTTGTGGTGGCTTGCGTAGTAGCTGATTCTGAAGAATAAATACGATATATACACCTGATGATAAAACTTGAGGCAAAAAAAGTCAAATCCATGTTTACTAAAATAAATCTAAGACTTACTAAACAATCACCAAATGATATCGAATTCCCAGCTTTTGACGCAAAGGCGGCTGCCGAGAACAAGATGTTGCTTCACGTTGTAGCATTTTGTATTCACGTGAACGTGAAAGCGAGGGAGAGAGAGAGGCATGGTGAGACGGAGAGAGAGACAATTCGAGAGAGAATAGAGAAGTGGAAAATCATATAACATAGAAAACGAGAGAGAAAGAAAAGGCGGAGATAGAGGGAGAGACAGAGAGATGGAGACAAAGAGAGAGACAGAGACAGAGGGTGTGGGTGATTGACAAAATTAAGGAAATGGTAAACGAAAAGAGTGAGCAGGGTTAGAGAGAACAAAAGAGAGAGAAAACAGAGAGAGAAAGAAAGAAAAAGAAAAAGAGAGATAGATGAAGAGAAGAGAGAGAGAGAGAGAGAGAGAGAGAAAAGGAGAAAGAGAAAGAGAGGGAGAGGTAGCGTAAATGAAGTTTTCTTACGAGTCGTTGTGGTAGGGTGTGAAGTATTGTGTTCCGTCGTATATATCTTTGTGGTGTCTTGCGTAGTAGTTGATTCTGAAGAATAAATATGATGTATAGACCTGATGATACAACTTGAGGCAAAACAAAAGTTAAATCCATGTTTACCAAAATGTATGTAATCTAAGACTTACTAAACAAAATTAATCACCAAATGATATCGAATTCCTAGCTTTTGACGCCTGAGCGGATGGTCGAGAGCAAGAAGTTGCTTCACGTTGTAGCATAGTGTATACACGTGAACGTGATAGCGAGGGAGAAAGAGAGAGGCATGGAGAGACGAAGAGAGAGAAAATTCGAGAGAGAAAAGAGAAGTGAGAAATCATATAACTTCGAAAACGACAGAGAAGAAAAGGAGGATATAGAGAAAGAGAGAAAGGGAAAGAGATGGGTTGAGGGAGGGAGAGAGAGAGAAAGTGAGGGTGAATGAAAAAATTGTGAAATTGTAACCATTAAAGGGTAAGCATGGTTAGAGAGAACGCGAGAGTGAGAGAGAGAGAAAAGGAGAAAGAGAGAGAAAGAAAGAAAAACGGGGATGGAGAGAGAGAGGGAGAGAGAGAAAGGAAGAGAGAGAAAGAGATAGGAGGAGGTGGGAGAGGGAGAGAATTGGAGAGAGAGAGAGAGAGAGAGAAGGGAAATGAGGAAAGGGGATAACAAAAGAAAATCGACAGAGAAAGAGAAAGGCCGAGAGAGAGAGAGAGAGAGAGAGAGAGACAGACAGATAGACAGAGACAGACAGACAGGCAGAGAGTATAGAGGGCAAAGGAGGGGGAAATGGGGGGGGGGGCAGAGAGACAGAAAGGACGGGGGGTCTGACAGTCTGTGGATTATGATGTACAATCATGCTACCTTTCTTTTTGACAAAGCTGATCACTCTTGCTTGTATTCAGGTTACTAGCAAAAATAAGTTGTACAGTGTGTCTCAGAAAAAACGAAACCGAGAATAATCGATGTTTTATCATAACTTAATCAAAACTGATAAAACATCGATAATTCTCGGTTTCGTATTTTCTGGGACGCACTGTATAGATGGTTTTAGATTCGTCTAACCAACTTGTCAGATAATTATTGTGATTACTTTTATTCTCACGTTTATTGCAACGTTTCCCTCGATACCCGGCAGAACAGTGGCATTTAAAGTTTTCCATAGTCTCTTCACACGAGCCGTTTTGACAGATATTTTCGACACAATCTGTAGTAAAAAGAGGAGACAAGCAGTGCAACTATTCAAATCAAATTCAAATTCAAATCATTTATTCACTCAATATAAAAACAGATACATAGAATTGCGAATAAACGCATACATGTATAACAAATATAAAACAATGGACATAGTAAAATCAGTAGTTGACAGCACAAGTAACATACATTGAGTGGGGATCAGATTAAAGATCTATTTAAAGATCTTGTGAATTCGACCCCATTAGTATAAATTGCATTGTATACTGCTGCATGTACAACAAAAAGAGGGAGATAATACATAAACAGCTGGGTCAGAGAGAAACAAGAGAGGGAGACAGAGGTAGAGAGAGAGAGAGAGAGAGAGGGAGAGGGAGGAAAATTGAAGGAGAGAAAGGCAAGATGAGAAGTAAAGTTAATACATAGGATGAAATTAGACCCAAGCAGAATAATAATAGATACAAAATACAACAAAAAAATAACAATTAAAAAAAAACTATAAAAAAACATACGAACCTGGGATATAAAATTAACATTGACATGAACAACAAACAACAGGTGACTCAATGTGAATAAGATTGTAAAAGCCTTTCTTTGTATTGTCTCTTGAAAACATTCTGAGAGCATGCAGATTTTAGATTAGGTGGCAATGCATTCCATAGTTTGGGACCTGCATAGTAAATAGTCTTTTGAGAAACTGAAGTTCTTGCATATGGGATGTGAACATCTGCATTTGTACGAGTACAATGGGAGTGGATTGAAGAGTTAATGGAAAAATAGCGTGTCAGGAATAATGGCAAGATCTGTCTCTGACAAGAGAACATAAAAATGGCCAGTCTTAATTTATACAAATCGAATACATTCAAGAGTTTTAATTGAGTAAATAAAGGTTTAGTGGAGGCAAGGAAAGGCGTTTTACAAATTATCCTCACTGCTCTTTTTTGCAATCTATATAGTCTCAACATTTTTTCTTGAGAAGCTAAGACCCAGACAATATTGCAATATATAAGAAAAGGGTAAATGAGTGTGTAGTATAAAGATAACAAAATATTTCTAGGCAGATAGTTTAGTTTGTCCATTACATCAATATTTCGTGCAATTGTTGTACATATGTAATTTACATGGTCATGCCAACGCAATTTGTCATCAATTTGAATTCCTAGAAATTGTGTGTTAGATACTATTGTGATTTCAGAGTCATTTAGGTATACCTTATAGTTGGAAATAGTTGGAAATATCAATATTTCTTTTGGTGAAATTCATCATATGGGTTTTGTTTGCATTAAGTAGTAGCTTGTTAAGTTTGAGCCAATGGGCGGCATGTTCTAGTTCATGGTTTAGAGTTTGAATAAGGGTTTCTTCATCTTTGTTTGATAACGAAATTGTAGTGTCATCTGCAAAGAGGACATAACTAAGTTTTGAAGAACATTTATGAATATCATTTATATTAGACAAAGTAGAGGGCCTAGAATTGACCCTTGCGGAATTCCGCATGAGATTTTTTGCATATCAGATTGGTTTTTATTGTACACATTGAATTGTTTTCGGTCATCTAAATAGCTCTATAACCATTTCAAAGTTATCTTTGTCACACCAAATGAGGGGGCCTTAAACTTAACAAGCTGTGCTTCAACCAAGGTCTCCTCGTCTTTCTTTATTCTACATTGTACTGTTATGATTATACTCTATTATATTTTGTCACATGTGTTTTCTGGAAGACAAATAAACTCGATACTTGATACACGTACATGTACACAAGCACATACAAATGGGTCTACCGTTGTAAAATTTAAAGTGCATTTGGCTGATTAACTTTCTGTTGGCCACGTTACATGTGTTGACAAGACAACCACACGTAACACTAAACTAAACATGGACAAAATGATATAAAAATATTTAAGTGTTGCTCCTTCTAGTATCATGATGGAGGACGGAATATATTATATCATTCGTGATAAGGTAGGCAGATCAATCATAGTATAAAAGTACAGTGAATTAAACCTGAACCGAATAGAAAAAAGGACCAGACGCAAACGCGTCGACAATCGCCCACACCCCAACAAAATGATTAATTGTTTTGACATTGGTTGTAATGCCTTCCGACATATTCTTTATAATCATAGATTTCTGGTTTAACCGTTTCAACTATTATTGAATTCAATACTCTGTAGGGAACACCACTTGAATAGAAATTTAGAAATTGATATTTCTATCATTTTTATATTTAATCATATTGTATACATATTTAATCGAAGCCAAAAGGGCCATATATGACTGTGGAAAGCAGTTTTGTAATTGGCAATGCTGCACTCTTAATTTTACAACGGTTGACCAATTTGTATTTGCTTGTGTTTAAACGATTCAACCACTGGTTTCTGAAAATAGAGCTTGTGAACTGTTAAATGGCAGCAGCGTGTCCTCAAACGCTTACTTAGTTGACCAATTTCACAACGGATAAACCCTCAATATCTAACAGTAAGAGACAACACTGTTTGCTACCGAGTGGATAATCTGATTGTTTTAACAATATGTGCTAATTTACCTGTGTTTTAAGTGTTTGAATATTAACACCTAAATATGTTAGTAAACAAACGCTTAATCTTTTACAGTGTACCCTGTAAAATAAAACTACAAATAACGACTCGGTAATTCGTAAGAACCTGAATGCTCATCTGATCGTAATGACATGCCTAAAACCCCTGAGCTTCCGGGGGCTCCGCCCCTTGACCAACGCCGGGGCTTTGCCCCTGGACCCCACGCTAATTTACGCTACGTTCTACTAAATACGTTAGCCACCCCCCCCCCCCCAATGTTTCCGTCATTTCGCCACTGACTCATGGATTATGTAACAATTTCCACCTGTTTGACCAGGGATTAATAAAGTTAACAACACCTTCTCCCAAAGAACTAAACAAAAAATAGAACTTTGTTTAATCTTTTATGTTTTGTGATGTACAGTGACATTACTTCCTTCTCTTGACGAAGGTTTGCCATGGACTGCATGAAGTCAAGCCATCTTAGGGGGCTTACGGCTGCTCCTCGGGCTATAAAAACCCGACTGCTAAGGATAGACTGTCAACCTTTGTTGACAATGTCATAAAATGGTCTCTAACATAATACATCGAATCTTATGACACTTTTAGTTTGGTATTTCATGATTACATTTTCAAAAGAATTAAACAGTAGAACAGATTTAATATGTTGTGTTATGTTTAGAT